AAGGAAGGAAGGAAGGAAGGAAGGAAGGAAGGAAGGAAGGAAGGAAGGAAGGAAGGAAGGAAGGAAGGAAGGAAAGAAGGAAGGAAGGAAGGAAGGAAAGAAAGAAGAAAGAAGGAAGGGAGAAAAAGTGTATAATACACTTTGAATATGGTATGGAGCGGTCACTATCTAGTTCAAAAGCTATTAGGTCTATCTTATCTTTAAGAAGGAAGTGGAGGTGCCTGGCAGGCGCTCAGACTCCCTCTGAGGATCCCTGGGGGCTCCTCGACCTGTGAATATTGTCCTTTGGTTGAACATGTTAGAGAATACCACGGGCCATGTTTGGCCCACGGGTGCCAGGCTTTCTAGGCTACAAGTGGCAAACTGTAACCCATAGGCCAAATATGGCCCCCTGATGTGTCTTATGTATCCTGCACAATGTTTTAAAGGATTTTGAATCAGTTGCCTCCATTTCAAAAGTGACATCTTGCATAAAAATAAAATTATGATATTTTTGGAAAATCAGGTAATCTGGGCCTGGAATCCATTTTGTCATGGTAATTTTTGGCTAGAGTTGAACAGAGGCTGACAAGACAGGGCAAGTTCTCTGTAATTCCGCCAGGCCCCCCATCCTTGCTGTGTTACACTTGCATTGTGCGTTTATGTTCTCTGTCAGAGGTAATAGGGAGCCATCAAAGGCTCTAGAGGAAGGGAGTGGCTCATTCGAGGTTGGAAGTTCTGGCTCCAACTTTGGCACCACAGACTGATCTTCAGCAGATCGCTCAACCACTTGGGCCCTTGCTCTGCTAATTTGTAAAGCAGACATGAAAATAATAACCTTTGTTCACAGGGCTGCTGTGAGGACCCAGCGTAATGATGTGACAGCGGTGAATGAAATGCAAATGAAAGTTCCATGAAGTCAGAGACTCTGGCTGTCATGTTCCCTACGGTAGCCCAGGGCCTGGCAAACAGCAGGTGTTCAATATATGCATATTTTATGCATGAATGGATGAATAATATATATCAGTATCTTTAATGCTGGGTCCACAGCATGTGTTCAACATGTGTTTATTGAATAAATGAATGAATGGGTGAAGAATATATGTCAGTGTCTGGTATACAGCAGGTGCTCAATACATGCTTATCAAATGAGCAAATTAATGAATGCATAATGCCTATGCACCTACCCTGGAGCCTTATATACAGGGGATGCTCAATAAATGTAAAAAGAAGGGAGAGAGGAAAGGAGGAAAGAAGGAAGAAAGGAGCTATCAATCTATAAAGGGCAGAACAGATATTAGACTGAATGCCAGTCACAGTTAATGAGAAGCCCAAAGGCCCGTGAGACATTCCTGCAGAGTCCCACACAAGCTCTTGGGTGGGGCTTGCTGGCAGCACCCCCTGCTTTTGTAATAGCCGTGACAGCCCTTACACAGGGTTGCTGAGCCCTCGTTTTGGGGCAGCTGGAAAGCCGTGGCATCAGCAGACAAATGCAGAGCCAGCTGCCGCCTGCTGCGACCAAACAGGACATATCAGTGTGTCTCTGCTGTCTGGCAGGGGGATAATACGGCTCCTAGCAGACCTTGAAGGAGGGTTAATTCCCATGCACTCATCTCAGTGCCTTCTTTTCTCCCACTGCTGCTAATTAAGTCTTGTGTTTGATTCAAGACTCCTTGGATGCCAAGGAAGAAAGTCCCTATTAAGTTAGCTTAAGCCAAAAGAAAGGGATTAAATGTCTGTATGGCCAGTACCCATGTCACAGTCATGGATTTAGGAGTGCAAAAATGTTGCTTTATTATTTTCATCACTTCCTAGACTTTAGTCAATCCTGTACCACCTATTATCTTATGTACTTAATATCTTTCTTCTTTCTTTTCTTAAATTTAATTTTTGTAGACCAAGGTTCTCGCTATGTTGCCCAGATTGGTCTCAAACTCCTAGCCTCAAGTGATCCTTTTGCCTCAAGCTCTCAAAGTGCTGGGATTACAGGCATGAGCCACCTTGTCCTTAACTTAATAACTTTCTTCATATCAAACTGCTTTTTAAAAATCTATCACCTGTAACATGGGGCTAATAAAAAAATTGGAATATATTTTTGGAAAGTGAAACTATAGAGTTTTAATTGGAAGATCAATAACAATTGTCTTAAGTAGGAAGTGTCTGCAAAAATAAATGCAACACAAATAAAACAATGTTATTAAATTCTAAGTTGTGGTTGTCCCAGTGCCTTCTGTTAAATAGAGAGCAGAGTAGCTATTCTTAAAAGGTGTCAGCTGGGTGTGGTGGCTCATGCCTGTAATCCTAGCACTTTAGGAGGCTGAGGCGGGTGGATTGTTTGAGTCCAGGAGTTCAAGACCAGCCTGGGCAACATGCCGAAACCCTGACAAACATGGCAAAACCCCTTCTCTACTAAAAATACAAAAATTAGCTGGCCATGGTGGCGCAAACCTGTAATACCAGCTACTCAGAGGCTGACGCAGGAGAATCGCTTGAACCCAGGAGGCAGAGGTTGCAGTGAGCTGAGATCGTGCCACTGCACTCCAGCCTGGGTGACTGAGCGAGACTCTATTTCAAATAAATAAATAAATAAATAAAAACAAATAGAGATAAATAAATAGGTGTTAAAAAACAGACTGGCACCTCATGGACTCTTTCTCTTTGACATAATCATAAAAATGAAGAAAAAGAAATAACTTTCTTGTGAGGAGATGCAAAGTTATTTAAAATACTCTCTCTGCCACCTAAAGTCATTTTCTAAAAGACCTGAAATCATCTGGTAGGCTTCCAAATTTCCTCGCTCATCTCCTTTAATTCACTTTCAAAAAATCAGTATGTTTCATACTTGCGCCCTAAAGTATTCCCCTGGGGGACAGGAAGGTGAACTCACCCTTGGAGCTCTGGGAAGGGTATTGCAGAAAGAGGCCTGCCCCAGACCTCACAGAGCAGGTTGAAAATGCATGCGAAATTTGCATTTTACCCTCTCATATTTGGCATTGATTGTGATATAAAAATAGTATTTGTTTATTCTTAATTTTTTTTTTCAATCTCTAAGGGTAATTAACACTCCAGGAATATGTGCCATGTTTGTCTTTCTTATTTTGTTATGTTTTGTTTTGAGATAGAGTCTCACTCTGTCGCTCAGACTGGAGTGCAGTGGCATGATCTTGGCTCACTGCAACCTCCACCTCGTGGGTTCAAGCAATTCTCATGCCTCAGACTTCCGAGTAGCCAGGACTACAGGCACCTGCCACTCCGCCTGGCTAATTTTTGCATTTTTAGTAGAGACGGGGCTTCACCATGTTGGCCAGGCTAGTCTCGAGCTCCTGGCCTCAAGTGATCCACCGGCCCCAGCCTCCCCAAATGCTGGGATTACAGATGTGAGACACCGCGCTCGGCCCCCTGTTTGTCTTGAAGCATTGTGTCCCTCTGTGGTTCTTGACCCTATTGAACACATGCCTCCTTTACTTTAAAAATGTCAAAAATTTGCCTCTGTAATTCCAGCTACCAGGAGACTGAGGTAGGAGGATCCCTTGAACTCAGGAGCTCAAGATCAGTGTGGGCAACATAGCAACACTCCATTTCTTTAAAAAAGTGAACAATTCGAATAATGCCTTCTTAACTATCCAGAAAAAACTTCCAAAGATAAAATAACCTAGTCACTCACATACTTTAAAAAAGAAATCAGCCGGGCGTGGTGGCTCACACCTGTAATCTCAGCACTTTGGGAGGCTGAGGTGCGTGGATCACTTGATCCCAGGAGTTTGAGAATAGCCTGGGCAACATGGTGAAACGCCGCCTCTGTAAAATATACAAAAATTAGCCAGGCATGGTGGCACACATCTATGCTTCCAGCTGCTTGGGAGGCTGAAGTGGGATGATAACTTGAGCCCAGGAGGTTGAGGCTGCAGTGAGCCGAGATCGCACCACTGCACTCTAGCCTGGGCAACAGAATGAGACTCTGTCTCAAAATAAATAAAAAGAAAGAAATAAGTTCTTTGTTTGGTTTGCAAATTAGGAGGATCTAAGAGTATGTCATTCATTAAAATAACTTCAAAATGAGTTTGCCAACACAGGAAACCGCCTTTATATTATGTTTTATTCTTCATAGTAAAAATATCACTCAGTACAGTTATACTTTGATATAGCTTTATCCTGGTACAATAGATGTTAGAATAATGATGCCAAGATAAACTTGTCAATGAGAAAAAGAAAGAAATCAGTTCTAAAGTGCTAACCAGGAGGGATAAATTTAAAACATCATTAATAAAATAAAATTTATTTTTAATATGCAAATATTTACTTACAACTCTGTCTAGATGACAAGGGGTCAATATCTGCCCCTGATTTAAATACGTTTGGATTTAACTGAATATTATTGATGCTTTTTCTTTACATTTGACCTTTTTAAATAAGGTTTAAGTCAGTACATTCATAGCTAAACCCTGTGAATGAAAGCTGACACTGAAGTTTCCCGTCAGTGACTCAAATGCTGCACACAGCGTTGTCATTGTCAGCATGGTTTTCTGAAAAGAATCATTTTATAAAGTTCCGGGTAAAACAAAGTAAATTTTCTTTTGACTTATCTGAAAGTGGCGTTCCTGAAAAATTAAGTGTGTATTCAAACTATGCCAAAAAAAAAAGTCTTGAATGTGTGAAACAGAGCAAAAGGTCTAGGTGTAGATCATCAGAAACAGAGTTTCAGCTGCATGATGAGCGGGCAGAACATTTAAGATGGTATGAGATGCAGGACAAGTCTATTTTGTCTCCTGTATTGTGGAATATCTGACATATCTGGCCCAGACTGGCATTCAATGCCAATCATTGGGACAACCAAGAATGTCTCACAATTTTCTTACCCACCGCCTATGGGTTGGCACTCCCCATACAGAGGACTCCAGTATCCCTTTGGTTGTGTAGGCTTCCTTTAGTGTGACCTCATTATCGGCAGCTTTCAGTGCAGTGCAAATGCTACCTGGAGGCGCTGAAAAGCCCTTGTGATTCCGTGTCTTCCTTCTCCGCAGGGACTGAAGATCAGCGTGCTGTGGACGCTGTACTATGGCATCCTTAGTGCTTTTGCGCCCGTGTATAGCTGGATCCTGGTGCTCCGGGGCCTGGTGGGCTTTGGGATTGGAGGAGTTCCCCAGTCGTAAGTAAATACTGTTCATGGCCTGGGTCGGGAGGTAGGGGCTGAGATGGGGGAGCAGGGGTGCAGAGATAGCTATACCAGGGCTTCCAGGATCAAGGAGCTATGGTGTAGCAAGAAAATAGCATCATTATCAGTATTGTTAGGATCAACAACAGCAGCAAAACAACACAATGGCTGGAAGGTTGCAAGCGAAATAATAATGCATCTAGCATGGATGGACTGTTCCACTTGGACGCATCCCAGCAGCCCAAGAGGTGTGTGTTACTGTATTATTTCAATCTCTGTTTTACAGTTGGGGAAACTGAGGCTCAGAGAGTGAAATCATCTGTTTGAATCACATGGTGGGTAACTACAACATCCATGCTTTTAGCCACTATGAATGCTGCTTTCCACGCTCTTCCAACCTAAACACAAGGCAGGGGATGATGCTGAGCACATGTCACCCGGGCAGTAATTTGCTGGTGTTGTAGTTTAAGGTACTGAGAATATTCAGAGCTGTAGGAAGAAGCCACTGTCTCCTGGGGGATTGAGGAGGACTTCCTATTTGTGATGGGCCCTGAAGCAGAAATTGGCACACTATGGCATATGGGCAGAATTCGACCTGCTGACTGGTTTTGTTAATAAAGTTTTATTGGAACACATCGCACCCTCCATTTATGTATTATCTATGGTCATTTTCTTTTTCTTTTTTTTTTTTTGAGACGGAGTCTCGCTCTGTCGCCAAGGCTGGAGTGCAGTGGCCGGATCTCAGCTCACTGCAAGCTCCGCCTCCCGGGTTCCCGCCATTCTCCTGCCTCAGCCTCCCGGGTAGCTGGGACTACAGGCGCCCGCCACCTCGCCCGGCTAGTTTTTTGTCTTTTTTGGTAGAGACGGGGTTTCACCGTGTTAGCCAGGCTGGTCTTGATCTCCTGACCTCGTGATCCGCCCGTCTCGGCCTCCCAAAGTGCTGGGATTACAGGCTTGAGCCACCGCACCCGGCCTAGAAGGGTAATACTAATTCTTTTTTTTTGAGACGGAGTCTCGCTCTGTCGCCCAGGCTGGAGTGCAGTGGCCGGATCTCAGCTCACTGCAGCCTCCGCCTGCTGGGTTCACGCCATTCTCCTGCCTCAGCCTCCGGAGTAGCTGGGACTACAGGTGCCCGCCACCATGTCTGGCTAATTTTTTTTTGTACTTTTAGTAGAGACGGGGTTTCACTGTGTTAGCCAGGATGGTCTCGATCTCCTGACCTTGTGATCTGCCGGCCTCAGCCTCCCAAACTGCTGGGATTACAGGCATGAGCCACCGCGCCCAGCCAGGGTAATGCTAATTCTAAAATAGATCATAGGCTCTGAAACCAGACTGCTTGGGTTTGAATCCTGGTTGCTCTGTCACATAATAGCTATATGACCTCAGGCAAGTCACTGAACCTTCCTACATCTGTTTCCTCATCTCTAAAATGGAACAACAACTTCCCTACCTCATGAGGTCCCTTAAAATAATCGTCATTAAATGACAACATTCTGTAAAATGCCCAGGACAGTGCCTGGCAGAGCACTTAAGACTTATTAACAAGCATTTGATCTGCTGAAGGCTAGTAAGAAGCTCAAGTGTCATTGTGATGGATGATGGATGACGGATGAATGACTCAAGGTATCACTGTAGACAGAACAGGGACGGGGAGACATGACCACATGGATTTAACACATGAGCAAACCCCCAGCCTCCTCCTGCCACTTGGGAGGCTGGAGGATGGTGAGTGGCTCTCAGCTCTCCTCAGTCCTTCCCTCCTTGATTCATGATTAATTCCTCCAGGGCTCTGTAGAGTAGACATTTGACATACACTTCTGGATCTGGGATGAGCTTACAAACCACTGGAGCTTGAAGCAAAGGCTATTAACGGAGCCGCAGCCATAAATCTGGGCTGGCAGGGGCTTGTGGACAATGTGCTCCACTTCTGGCTCAGCTCCAGGAATTCCTGCAGACACAACCACTGCCCTATTCATGAGTATGATGAGTTCATTGAGTACGATACAGTTTTCCCCTAGTGGCTGGGAGGAATGTACTCACAGAACAGCAAATCAAATTCCCTTACCAGGGACGCTCAGAGAGATGCCAGCAGAAATAGACTTCAAACAGTCACTGGATTTTCTTCTTATATAAGGAAAGAAAAAGGAATTAAATATGCAGAATGCCCACAGAAATTCTTGTTCAAGAAGGTTGAATGAGAAGAGACATTTGCTATTTCTTCTTCTTCCACATTTCCTGGAAATGACATAGAAGTAGTAAGAAATAGAATAAATCTTTTCTTTCTGCGAGAGACAGGGTCTTGCTCTGTTACCCAGGCTGGGGTACAGTGGCACAATCATGGCTCACTGCAGCCTCGAACTCCCAGGCTTAAGTGATCCTTCTGCCTCAGCCTTCCAGGCACACACCACCATGCTCAGCTAATTTTTTCTACTTTTTGGTGGAGATTGGGGTCTCACTATGTTGCCTGGGCTGGTCTTGAATACCTGACCTTTAGTGATCTGCCTGCCTTGGCCTTCCAAAGTGCTAGGATTACAGGCATGCCTCAAGATGCCCAGTTAAGAAATAGAATAAACAGTGCTGGAGAGCAAGAAAACAGTGCCATCAGTGACTCAGAATTTTGAGAAGCCTCTGGAAGCTTATAAGCAGATGGGATTGCAAGGGTGGAGTAACTGGAACAGAGAAAACCACACCCTAAAACAGCAAAGGGGCGGGACTACAAAGAGGAAGAGAGATTCTTCCTGTGGGGCTCTGGGGTAATGGCACAGGACACCAGGGGAATAAAACAAAGGACACAGAGGAGCTAGGAGGGCCTTTCCCCTTTATCTCATGCTTATCTTAAGGGTCCCTGGCTTGCCTGCCTGCTCCCTACCTCTTCCCCATTTAGTCGTTCATGTATTGAACACTGCTATAGCCCTTCCGTTTGGTTATTGAGCTATTACTACATTCCAGACACTGAGCCTCGTGCTTTACATATATTACCACTTTAATGCTCATAACATCTTAGGATATAGATGTTATGATCATCTCCACTTCACAGGTACAAAAGCTGGAGCTTTGTAGAAACTAAGTAGCATGCCCAAGGTCACATAGCTAGTAAATGGCAGAGCTAAGGTTTAGACATCACTTGACCCTCCAAACCTATTCTCTGAACTACTCCACTAAATAGCATTTTTTTTTTTTGTCACCCGGGCTGGAATGCAGTGGCATGATATCTTGGCTCACTGCAACCTCCACCTCCTGGGTTCAAGCTATCCTCCCACCTCAGCTTCCCGAGTAGCTGGGATTACAGGAGCATGCCACCACACCTGGCTAATTTTTGTATTTTTAATAGAGATGGGGTTTCACCATGTTGGCCAGGCTGGTCTCGGACTCCTGACCTCAAGCGATTCGCCTGCCTCAGCCTTCCAAAGTGCTGGGATTACAGGTGTGAGCCACCCCACCCAGCCTAAATAGCTCTTTTATCTGTGAGGAGGGCAAATAAAAACTAGAAACGAAATTACAGAAGAAATATTTAGCCACCCAAGAGAGCCACTGGCTTCCCACCACTGTAACTCTATCCACTTACATAAAAATAATGTCTTAATTATACAATGTTCCTATCTAGTTACAAAAATGACTCCCTTAAGTTCATTATTTGGAAACATTTAGTTGGAGATATTTTGATGTGATTAAATGCAATTAAAAGTTTCCATTAATTTACAGTAGCTATACCCTAATGCAGCAACCCATAAAATCAGATGAAAAAGATTTTGCTGTGTAATTCTTAAAAGCTCAACAACCAGAAGTCCTTGTAATGTACTCTGAATTTTAAGTATAAATGTCAATTAGGGCTGGGAGTGGTGGCTCACGCCTGTAATCCCAGCACTTTGGGAGGCCGAGGCGGGTGGATCACCTGGGGTGGGGAGTTCAAAACCAGCCTGACCAACATGGAGAAGCCCCGTCTCTACTAAAAATACAAAATTAGCTGGGTGTGGTGGCACATGCCTGTAATCCCAGCTACTCGGGAGGCTGAGGCAGGAGAATCGCTTGAATGCGGGAGGCAGAGGTTGGGGTGAGCTGAGATCATGCCATTGCACTCCAGCCTGGGCAACAAGAATGAAACTCCATCTCAAAAAAAAAAAAAAAAAAGTCAACTAGGTCATTAAGGATCCTGTTCCTCTACCCTGATCTGTGCTTTTCTATGACCCTTCTTCTCTCCTCCCTTCCTCATTCTTTTCTTCCTTCCCCCAAAGTAGAGATTCTCATTCTTGGTGATAAGAACAACAACATTAGCCTTAATAGTGATGATGATGATGATAATGGAGTTTACCAAGTGCTGGGCACTTTGCTCAATGTTCTTCTCAGACTACCTTACTTGGTCCACTGAACAACTGTTTTATCCCCATATAACAGATGCGAAAACCGAGGCTGAGAGCTCACAAGGGACTTGCTGGAGGTCAGATAGTTGTTATTATTATTTTTGAAACCAGATTTTGCTCTGTTGCCGAGGCTGGAGTGCAGCAACATGATCATACCTCCCTGCAGCCTCAAACTTCTGGGCTCAAGCGATCCTCCCACCACAGCTTCTGGAGTCACTAAAGTGTGTGCCACCACACCCAGCTAATTTTTTAAATTTTTTGTTGAGATGGGCTACAGAGGACAGAGTGGGCGGTCTCACTGTGTTACCCAGGCTGTTCTTGAACTCAAGTGATCCTCCCATCTTGGCCTCCCAGAGTGTTGGGATTACAGGTGTGAGTCATCATGCCTGGTCAGATGGTTATTACGTGTAGTGTAGGAGGCCTGGGCATAGTGGCTCACGCCTGTAATTCCAGCACTTTAGGAGGCTGAGGCGGGTGGATCACTTGAGGCCAGGAGTTTGAGACCAGCCTGGGCAACATGGCAAAACCCCATCTCTTCAAAAATACAAAAATTAGCCAGGCATGGTGGTGCACACCTGTAATCTTAGCTACTTGGGAGGCTGAGGCAGGAGAATCGCTTGAACCCGGGAAGCGGAG